TGTTAAACAGAAAAGTTTATGGTTTCTGTGAATGCGCAAAGCAGCCACCTGTATGCTATTAGACTGTGGAAATTAGTCATTTGTCTGGTATAGCTTTTGGTCTGACAAATTCTGGAGGTAATAAAACAATCCTCATTTTTGTGGGTTTTGAAGTTGTCTTCCCTCTTCTTTCCCCCCCCCCCCGCCCACCCAAATGCCATACATACGCCTCTCTTAACTGTGCTGTTTTTGCACTATTGACTGAACTTGCTTAAATCAACTTGTAGAGATACTTTTTGCTACTTATACAATTAATTTCTGAGGGAAGAATTCTGCTATCATTTGTGCTTCCTGTGTTAGAGGTCTATACACTGAAGTTACAGTCCTAAAATCCTGTGTTGGGTTAATTCAGTGTTCTTTCATCCTGAAAGTGAAGAATTAAAAGAACGTGTAAGTAGCCCCTTTCATGGCTACTTTTCCTCTCCAAATGAGGGAAAAATCAGGCAATGATTATAAATCAACCAATTTGATTTTAAATTAGTGTGCAGTCTTTGACTTGAAGATATACTCTCTTTTTAGAAGCCTCAGTGAGTAGATTACAGCTCAATAGATCTGTTGGTATCCAGACGGAGGATTAGGGGGGAAAAAGTAAAATGAAGCCCGCTCCTTGAAAACGTGCTGTTAGTTCTAGAGAGATTGTATCTCTTTTTCTGTCAGTGAAGTGTTCCTTTTGCAGAGAAATTCTTGTTTCTTCTCTCAGCTTCTTCTGCTTGCAGAGAGAGGAAGAACTTTAAAAAATCATCTTAGGAGAGCTAGGAACCTGAAGATAATAGGTGCCTTTTTAGATCTGTCCGTTATTGAAGTGCTTCTGTCTTTTATGCCTCTTATAGTATCTACTTTGAGCAATAGAATAAGCCGCACAGAGGTGTAAAATCAGTCATGATTAGGAGCTGCTGAGATGACAGGGCATTTCATACTGCACAACTGTTGTTTCAGTTAGGTCAACTAACTGTTGACCTTGTTTCAACTGTTGTTAGGTCAGTAGTATGCAATGGTTGGTATGGAGCCTGCTGTGCCTCCTCGTATTTTCTTCTGCACTGTTTCTAGTGCATATGCTGTTTTTTCCCCATCTCCTGTTCAGCACCTGAGGGTGCTGAAGCCCGCCCAGTGTAACGGTGACAGTGGCTAAACAGCCCCTCGAGGTCTGTCACAGCTAATCGCTGGCTAGTCAAATGAAGAATAGGCTTCCAGATAATCCAGAAAAAATATTTCTGAAACTTTTTAGCCCTCACCTCAACATTTAGTATCCTAAATGTGCCCCTCACTTAGGATTGTGAGGTTTTTTGGTTTTTTATTTTGTTTGTTTGTTTGTTTGAAGGGTCAACTTACCTGAAGCCTGGAGGCAACTTTTAGAGAGCACTTTCTGCACTTGCAGAACCAGTGCAACACTTGCAGTGCTGCCAGTGGCTGTAGAAACTGGGAGAAAACTGAGCCAACTTGAAGCTAGGGAATGGCCTTGGTAGTTGACTCCCGTGCTGTTGTGTTTGACCTTGGAGAGTTTAAAGCAGAGAGATAGCTTACACTCACTGACAACCATGTGCGTGGTTACAGTTGTCAGGTCCTTGGTAATTAAATGCAAACCTTGTGGGTAATAACTGCAAACAATGTTTTCTCCCTAATAAATGAAATAAAAACTAGTTAATGTGCAACAGTACTATGGAGCGCTTGGTAGTATTTTATACAGAGTTTTTTTTACCTTGGGGAGGTGTATGAGCTCTGCCTTCAGGGGGAGATATTTGGCTGAAAGTTTCGGCCTGGTATGATAGCCTTAAGAGTTTAAGAACGTGAATGAATATTTGTAATTACACAGACATCTTTTCTACGCATGTGTTACTGGTCGTTGTAATCCCAGGGAGGATTTATCTTAACTGACAAAGAATCCAAAATCAGTATTTTCAGGCAGTTTGCCTGGGTTCTGTTTTTATCAATTCCAAGAGAATTTGGAGAATAAATGGGCAGCTGAGGCCCCCTAGTGTCAGCAGAGGCATACTGTGCTTCTCGGGCACAGCTGCCTCAAAGTTACTGTGAATTTCACTTAACGTTTACCTTTTTGACACAAAGATCCACTTTTTTAGCTAAAGTATCTCATGACATGTTAATTATTCATATTCAATATCCTTACTGGAGAGATGAATTTTCCGTCAGTTAGTTTATTTTTCACGTCTTGTTTTGCCAAGCTCTGTCAAAAGTGAATCGGAGGATTCACTTGTAACCTTTACTATTTGTGTTTTGAACAAAAACTATACAGGACAATTAAAGGCCAGTGACATAAATTTCCACCAAAACCATATCTGCACCCCACAGTTATGTGGGCAACACTACATAGCTAAAGGCTTCTAGAGCTGTGATGCATTATATAACTTGGGGGGGGGGGTGTGGGAAGGGCCAAAGGAGGAGGAGTGAGATGATTGTGGCATTTTATTTTGCTTTTGTGGTTATTAGCCATGTGCTTTTGGTCAAATTGTTAAGACCTTGAGAATCACTTCCAAATGCCCTGATCTGTGTTACAGCAGTGTGGATATATGTTAGGGTAGATTGCTTTTGTGCTTGAAACTTAACTTAAATCTATACATTTGCATTGAGGGTAAAGTGATACAGAGCTTTTCTTCCAGGAAAAAGGTGAGAGACAGAGAATAGCTGCTTGTAAGGTAACTTAATGGTCCTGTTAGTCTATTATGAATATGTATCTTTGCAATATTTCTATTTTGCCCTAGGCTATGAATATCTGTTGGAACTGTGGTATTTGTCAAAAGATAGCTGTGTGTCTTCATGATAAAATTTTAGCTTTTGCGTATTTATGGATAGTGGCTAATTAAACCTTAATAAATAAATCAATTTGAGGGTTTATTCAGCTAGCTGGCTTGTCACTCTCACCAGCCTGTAATGCCTCCCACTTAAGTTTGCTGTTGCACAGATTTTTAATGAGTTAGAGAAAGAAGTGAGCCTTGGCCAAAATGCTGTTTTATGTTATGTTTTAACAATAGAAGAAAAAATAGGGATGCTAAGTTAGGCCCTGATATGCTTTGTTGTCTGGACTTCCTGTGAACTAGTTTCTCTAGAAATAAAGTTGCCAGTCTTGAAGTCTACTCAAAGAGGAGAAAAACTAAAGAAGATAAAGAATTAAAAGGAGTCTTTCTGGGTAACATTGCATCTAAGGCCTTAGGTTTTTACTTTGAGTGTACTTTGGAAGCTTGATATTGGTGGTCTCTGTGCAAATTCCTCTTCACTTCTTGAAATCTGTTTTGGTCACAAAAATCACACTGCTCAAGCATGTGATTCTTATTAGAGCTACCAGTTTTAATGGTAGATGGTAACAGTTGATGCAAGATACAGTTGATGCTTCCAAGATTTTAAAAGAAAATGTGCAGAAAATGGAATTTTTCTGCCTTTTAGTTTTGTTTTAGAAGTTGAGATGATGGAACACTATGCTGTAGATATGATCCAGCGGTATCCCTAATATATCTTCTAGATAAGCTCTCCTTAGTGTCTGAGTTTCAGAAACTTTTATTCAGTTAAACTTTTTTCTGAAGATCAACAGCCAATATAGGAAAAGCAAACAAAAATAAGGAGTTTTTAATTAGTTGAGGAATATGTCACAGTCTGTATCACAGAGCATATGTTGTCGTTTGTTGCTGAGATAATGGTTTTCTGCTGTTTTTAAGGAGCAATTCAGAGTGAAGAAACTTACATCTGGGATACTAAGTTGTGAATGGCACTGAGTGTATCCTACCGTATTCAGTGATGATCCTTGAAATTGTTCTGGAATTGTAAATGTCTCATTTGTATTTTGAATCACTGTGGAAGTCTAAATTTTTACAAATTAAAAAGGGGAACATTCAGTATAACGTGTTCTTTTCTTTTGCTTGCAGTTCTTCAAGGATTTTATGCATAGCATATGAAGTTTTGCAGGGCTTGCAATATATGAACAAACATGGAATGGTCCACCGAGCACTGTCCCCGTGTAATATTCTTTTGGATCGAAAGGTAGAGCTACAGGAATGAATCTATGACTTTTTTTCTCTTGGTGCCAACCACTAGCATGCTGTGTTGCATTTGGAGACTGGGCAGTCAAATCCTTCTGATAAAATTGCATGATGGAAAAGGATGCGGTTTTTTATTTTGTTGTTGTTACTTAGATTTTCCCCCATTTTCTAAATTTCACATGAATTTCAGACTTTATTTGCTTTTCTTTGTTCCTATGTTGTTATATCCCACACCACTCTCTTTACCCTGTTCTTCATAAGGTATTATTCCAAGTCAATTTGATTGTCATTTGGGTAAATAGCTACAAGTTCTTCTAACAGTTTGAACAGGAAAATGTTTCTTGGTCGTTATTGATACTTCATGTGTTTCATGTTTTTTATACAAATAATTTGATACTTAACCTTGGCTTGTAAGATATCAGCATGTTTCTTTGTTCACATTAAATTACTAAAATCCCAGTATCTGTCAATTCCCTCATCACAGACTATTGATTTAGCAGCGTGGAATATGGGTTCCACTCATTAAAGACAAAAGAAATTAATAGCTGCTGCTGTATTTGGAGCAGTTGCTTCATCTGAACTCACAGCTAATGAGCACAACTCTTCTGGACAACCTCTTTCTCCCTCTTCTTACTGAGCTTGGATATAATAGCTGGATGCTTCCCTTGGAAGGCAGAAAGAAAGGAGAAGAAAGGAACGAACGTTATTTTTACCCTGTTCTTGGATAAATGACTGAAACAAAAAATCAGAATGTTCTGACAAGCACAAGTACTTAGGATTTTAAGGTAGTCCTAAAATGAGTAAAAGAACAACAGGGAACCATAAGATCATAAACTTATCAACTTCTTCCCTGTCCTTTAAATTAGTTGCCAGTGTGGCCTTCATTTTTACATCATCTGCAGGCTGGCTGGCTGTAATTCAAAATCTGGCAAAACCAATCCCTCAGTTGAACTTCAATGCCTATTTTTTGGTGTTATCTTTCTGCCTCTACAGAATAAGATTAAACACCTGGAAAACATGTTGGCTTGAAATATGTAGCAACAGAGTTAAGGGGGGGAAAGTAGTAATGAGTTGATGGGAAAGACTGGAAGAGCAAGGCTGGGTAAATGGAAGAGGTCAGGAAACAGTGATGCTCACTGAATTTAATGATTCAAACAGGATTTCAAACTGATTTCAAACAGGAAAAATATTAATAGAGTATTTAAGCCTTTTTAATCTACTGAAAATATACAGTAATTTTAAAAGCTCTGACTTGTTTGTGTATTCCTAAGTGATTACTTTATGTTCTTAGAAAATAAAAGCATTGCAAATAGGCACATTACTAACTTCTAGTAGAGTTCTGCATAATAGATGAAAGAGAAATGTAAGAGGCTGACCCTCTGTGGATATGTTCTCCAGACATGCAGTTTCCATAAAAATAACTTTTTTTTTTTAACTTAAATTTTTCTAATGCTAGATTCTCCTGATCTTGATCATTTATTTTGCTTTTTCAGGGTCATGTCAAGTTGGCTAAATTTGGACTCTACCATATGACAGCTCAAGGTGTTGATGTTGATTTTCCTATAGGGTAAGGGTGTAGCTCTACAGTACAAATATGTCAGGGATATATTTTTTTCAGGAAAGATTTTTGTGTTTCAGGGTCATCTTCAAAAATATGTTGTATGTGCAAGGATCTTATGGCATACTACTGTGTTATTTCATATGTTAGACCGCTTGCATAAAGGCTTCTCTTAATGTCACCGAAGAGCATATGATCTGAGTAGATGAAATGAATGACAGGCAGAGGAAGGAAGGATTCATGCAAGCATGTTACTGTAATTGTGTTATGTTAATAATGGTTATCTAGATCTGCTAGACTTGGCTTGAAATGCTAGTAAACCCCTGTGACTGGGACCAATTCTGGAGGCACGACATAATTTCAAATTTGGGAAGGACAATCACTGTTTCCGTCCCTATTTCATACCACTCTAGACCTCCTTGTTTGTTTATTGTTCTCTGACTTATTTTCAAGTTATTTTGAAAAGTACTGTCCGGACAAAGTGAAGTGAGTTCACAGGTTTTGTTGGAGTGTCTCCTAGCCACTTTTTCTTGCTGCCTCCTAGCCACTTTTTCTTGCTGCCTCCTAGCCACTTTTTCTTGCTGCCTCCTAGCCACTTTTTCTTGCTGTCTTGTTGTTTGCAGTCAAAACATATAGCTGATCTTAAAGACATGCCCAATAATGGTCATGATGTTTCCCTTTAGAAATTGACTTCTGAATTTTTTTAAAAATTTTGTCATAAGTGGTTGACTGAACAAGCTATAAATGTTATTTTAAAAAATTTAGCAGACAAATTTCATTAAAAACTTTGTTTTTAAATAATTTAATATAAATTTGTTTGAATGCTGACAATGGAGGAAACTCCTCCCCCCGTATTACTTTAGGATAAGTATGTTTAATCTACTTCTATTGAAACTCAGTGTACGTTTGCTATAAGATATAGGGGAATGTACTTTTTGAAAGCTGCTGTTATTAACTCTCACAAAAAGTACCACGTTAGTGATTAAAATTTGATCTTTTGTGTAATAGATTATTTGTTTCACAACTCTGCTGGCAATGTGTATGTTTTGACTAAATATAATAGAATAATCTGCATTACTATGGATTCTAGTTTCTCAGAATACAAAATTATTTTGATTAATGTAACTGAAAGTAGAGCTTTTGGAAAGAACATACTACTTAATGTTGCTGCATCTTTCTAGGTACCCGTCATATCTGGCACCTGAAGTAATTGCACAGGGAATAGTCAAATCAAGTGATCATACTCAGTCTGAGAAGCCTCTGCCTTCTGGCCCTAAATCAGATCTGTGGTCTCTTGGTATAATATTATTTGAGCTTTGCTTGGTATGTAAGAGAAGAATTATTCTCTTGACTGTGACTCTTGGGGATTAGTTGCATTCAATTAATTGCTTTTAATTGTGGGGTTAATGACACTTTGTCCATCAACTGAGTACAAATATCAGAATTTGCTAGTGTTCCTACCTGGCCAGCATTGGCGATAGTTCAAGTTACTGGATACATATTGGGTTGTGTGTGTGTGACCGTGAAGGGCAGCTGCCTGTTAAGCCACAGTGATATGATTGCGTGATTAAACTCTTAATGAGGAATGGATTCTAAACTAAAAAGTCTCTGGATAATTTTTTGATTTAATTGTGCTTTTGAGCATGAAATAAGCAGTGCTGTCATGCCCTCCTTCCTCTTGAAATGGATCAGAAACTAATTAATAAAATTTCTTTACTATGAGAGCAGCAGAGGGGAGGGGGAGAATCTCTCTTTTTGCTAGAATTTAAGGAGCTCCTGGGGGGCATTCAGAGTTTATTTGGAAATTGCTTATTTGGTTCTAGAAGTTGAAATAAATTATGACAAGATAATCTTTACTATTTGAATATGTTTAAACTGCACTTCTTTCATTCAAAGACAGCAACATACTATATGGAGGCATAATCTGGCAAAGACCTTAGTACTGAGATTTAATTTCATTAGATAATTAAATTGTCTAAGGACTGCATGGTCAAAAACCTGCTTTATATAGTGATAGATCAAGACATTGGAAATACTGTTTTGTGTGTTCTGCTCTACTGTAAATTTGCATGGTGTTCATGGATTATTATTTACTATTTTGAATCAATATATATTAAAAATGCAATAATTTTGTTGAAGCACTTCTAAACCAATTTTCAACCAAGCTTTTCAAAACCACTCTGCAATACAAGCTATGAGTATTACTATGTTTAGTAATTATCTTTGTTCATGTTCACGTTAGGATAAGTATACATTCTGAAAGCCCACTATTGAATCAAGAATAAACCTTCAGATTTGCTAAGGCTTTATTTTACACATTTCTTGGGGGTTTTTGCGTTTGTTCCTTTTAAGCGACGTTAAAAATGATACTTTTTTATGATGGCATGAATGTGTTTCTAGTGTAGTTGGGGTAAATATTATTTTGTGCTCTAACAGAAAATTTTCCTCAATCTTCTAAAATTCAGGTATAGAAGCTTATTTTACTGTCTCCATGTATGGATGGGAGTGTATGATAATTAATTTTTTATGAAGTAGCATTCAACTGTTGATTTAATTTGGTTATCTATTTAGGGGAGAAAATTATTCCAGAATTTGGAGATAGCGGAAAGATTAAAATTTATAATTACATTAGGTAAGTAGCACAAAATCATTTTTTTAGGTTTCTAAGCAGTTCTATAATCAGAGCTCTACAGACTTGTCAGCTTGTGATGCTCAGACCTGAGGCACTTTACTTTGTTCTTTCATTTCCAGAATTAGATAGGCATTTGAAGTATGGTCGCTTGATCAGGGAAGGTGCTGAGATGTGTGCCAAAAATATCACTTTGCAGAGGAGCCAAGAGAATATGTTAGAGGAAGGGCAAGCTATGGAAAAATCTGCTCATGAAAGGTTGTCATTTTGATGGTTATTTATGCTGTATTGCAGGAGGTCTTCAAAATGAGTTAGGAATTGTGTGAAGTTAAAGAAAACTCTCACTGCGTTAGCAGTGTTTATGTACCAGGCTCCAAGTAGGGAGAAGCAGGACTCAGATAGTAAGATGGAAAATAAAAAGAGGACTGAGAAGTGTATTACTTACTGCATCTAGGCTTCTGTTTCTGGCTTTAGCTACAAACTATAAACGTGTTACTGGAGGCATGGAATTTTTACTCTACTGTAAGTGTGGAAGCGGAACTAACCTTTTTTTTTTTTTTTTAAGATGTGGTTTGTTGTGTGGCTTGTATTTAAGTTGTGGGGAGGGGAAGGGCATGAGCTCACAGTTTGAAGCTTTATCACTAAGCTGTTAAATTTATCCAGAGCAAATAGTAATACTATTGAATTTAGTTACTATCAGTACAGACATCTTTTTCACTCAGCAGCTAGTGCTTTGGCGCCAAGATTCTTGCTGCTTTGGTATGTTATCTGTTAACAAAACAAAGCTTCCGGAAGCATTACCATCCCCTTCTGTCAAGTTGAGTGTAAGTTACTGCTGACCTTCATCTGCTAAAAAATGTTCCTGACTTGGGAATTTTCTCGATGATACATTGAAGGTGCACCATGAAATACTGCTAGTGTTACAGCACTGCAAGTAGTGACAAAGTAAGAAATACTTAGAGCTATTTTTAAGGTCTTGCAATGATTTTTTTTGTAAGTGGGAAGATTGTTTTAATTTATTTGGCAGGGACTGACAATCTAGATTTACTAAGCCTGCAAAAGACTTCCTCTGCTAATTTAGATGTACTACTTAACTTTCCTAGGCTTCAGGTCCCTGTGTGCATAGGGGATAATGTTATTTTCCTTCCTGATTTTGAGAATTCGCTTTCAGGTGATGTGACAGTGTTCATACAAAGCCAAAGTTAAATGCTTCATGTTGAGGTGGGATTTAATCTGATATCCTGTTTAATTGGTATCGCTTTTTTATGTTTTTTAACTTCTACTCTTCTGTTTGTTTTTTCAAAGACTGTATAGATGATATTGTAACTGTATTAGCTGAAGAACATGGTTGCCTTGATATTATTAAGGTTTGTGAAACTAGTTGACTCTTCCATGCTATCTTATCTGGAGTATTTTATTGCTGTTGCATTACTTAGGATTTGGTATATCTTTTAACTTGTTTAGTCACTTGAATTTATTGCAGTAGGAAAACTACTTTAAATTATAAACTACATATCTAAGATTTCTTCCAAATATGCAATGCTAGCAGTGCTCATTTTTTCCTAAATTATTGTCTGTCCAAGTAAGTTTTAACGCTCACTGGATTACCTATTTTTTAAAATGTTGTAGGGATAAGTATTTTTCTCCTAGAAATTTTGTATTCTACCTGGTCTGCTTTGCATGTTCTGTGTACAATGTATGATTATACAGTTCATCTGCCCTCTCCCAACCCCCCCAACAATTAGTTACTGAATTTTGGTGTTTGTATATTTTGAAAAACTATATAAAAGGATTCTGACCGTTATCGGAAGGGAGTTCCCAGCTTTTGCATTGTTTAAATGGGATACGGAAAATTCAGATTGGAAAAAAAAATACATATCTGTACATGTTGTGAGTTCTCCAAATTTTTCCCCCAAAGCAAAGAGGGGGATTACTACCCTGTTGGAACAGCCATAGCATGTTAGTTTGATGCAGCTAACCTTATAGGTGTAGGTATGAAATATCATTGCTTTCAGTGGAATAGCCTGTGTGTTAAAAGCTAAGTTTGTGCTGTAGTGGCTTGCTGAATTAGGACAGCAATAAACAATCCTCCTCCGTATTTTTCTTATGCTCCAGGACCTTTCTGAAAATATGATAGCTCTACTGAAGAAATGCCTTACGTTCCAGCCTTCTAAGAGGCAAGTATTCCGTTCAAATGCATAGTAAACTGTGCTGGGATGCTACTTAAATTAGAAGACCCGCTCCTGAGCTTTTTTCGGAATGCTGCTGCTTTGTGCTGCCTATAAGCAGTTCTTGGTTTTGTTACTTTGAATCCTTTTAGGGAGGAAAAAAAATCAAGCGTGCAAAACCTTTGAGGTTGAATTGGAGCATTTAAAGGGGCAAACTGTTCAGTAATTTTTCATTTTAAATTCCCAGCTTTTACTGATTCCATGTTTGGGTGTTGTAGTGGTTACTGCAGCTGTGTTGTAGCCACAATTAGGGCTGCTTTCTTCGAATCTCTTCTTTCAAAATACTTTTTAGTTGTGTTAGTCCACCACAACTTTCTTCTCAAAACCAAAGTTTCTGTTCTTTGAATCCAGGTTTTATGGGAGTGGTTTTGTTTTTGTATTTTTATCTTTACTTAGAGGAAGTAAAGGGGAATTTGAAAACATAGCTGCTGTATACATTAAATGAAGATAAGATCTGAACTGGGGTTATAAACAGACTACCTGGTGTATTGTGTGTCATGGATTGAACAAAATTTGTAGATTTTCTGCTCTTAAAATTCTCTGAAATTTAATATGATAATTTAAAATAATTTGTTAATATTTATTACTGCAGTGGAGGGGGTGTTTCTTACTGACAAAGTTATATATTTGGAAGCACTTTGCACTTAGTGTTTTATTGTCCTTTCTTAACTTAAGGCCAACGCCAGAGGAGTTGCTGCATGACAGTTTGTTCAGTGAAGTATCCTTGGCATACTCTCCCTTTCACAAACCTGCTGGTCTGTTCTCATCATCTCCCAGGTGTGCTAATTTAACGCTTCCTGAAGACATCACCCTATTGTGTAAAGGTAAAAGGGGATAATGAAATGGGTGTCATTGGAGAGGAAAAGAAAATAAGATGTTTTGGGATTTTCTTCAAATGCTTTGTTGGAGAGAAATTTTTAAGTGGGATAATATTACATTCTTGTAGTAAACTGTTTAATGGGAAGAGATATGGGCAAACATGTTTTGAGGGATGTGTGCAAGTCAAAGGAGGGCGTCTTGATTTTTACGCATTGGCCTTGGGAATAAACAGTCATCATTAGTATTCAAGTGCAGCATAGTGTATCTTCTGTCAACACATTATGGTCTAGGACCATCCAAACATAATTGTTTCCAACAAAATGTGTTTGATAGGAAAAAAATAGAAGATAACTCAAAAGCTATAACTCATTTTTATTTGGTTTCTCCTAATAGATGAAGATAGCGATTACCTAGCAGAAAGATCAATTGAAGAAGTTTATCATCTCTGGTGTTTGGCTGGAGGAGACTTGGAGAAAGAACTTGTCAACAAGGAAATCATTCGATCAAAGCCACCTGTCTGCACGCTTCCCAAGTAAGGGAAAAGTAGTACTTTCAGGGCAGTAGGATGTTGGAAAGACCAGGGCTTCCAAGAAAATGCTTTGCTTTGGTTTTTAGTTTCAAGACCTCTGTTAGTGGAAAAATTTTGAAAGCAGTGTTCTTGAGCAGCAGGGAATCATTTTCCTTCCTCTCTTAATGCCCAATTTAGGGTATTATTTGAACACCTAGTATCTGCTACCCACCTGTGCTTCACATTGTTTTCTGAAATTTGAAGAAATGTAGA